ATATTCTCCTCTCCTCTCTCCTCCTATAAAACCTGCCCTGAAGACTCATTCTTAACACATTTTGTGCAGCAGGAGAGGAGGAGGGACCAAAAGGAGCAGACTGCAGCAATGTTCAATGTTCATCAATGCAAAAGAAAAAGAAGAGATTCTAAAATAAATTATGCCACGAGCATGTGAATGAATAGAATAAACTGTAGTTTTAAACTCATTTTGATGCAAAAAAAAAGTAGGTGTGGTAACTGAAAACAGCAGAAAGCATTCTTCTGTGGTTGGGAGCATTCAGACGAGGTAATGAACTGGGGGAAATTATGGTGTAACGTCTATCATGATGCAATAAAACGTACTTTTCAGTGTGGCGGCAATTTATCATGTTGTTCTTTAGATATCGCTTGTATCGCTGAACCCTGAACACATGCAGACGAGGCCATCCGAACTCACCAAACCCAAATATTAAATGTTATCCTATCCAAGGGGTTTCATGTCTGACTTGCTGTGGGGTCATCCTGTTCTCACTTAACCCTCTTCCACAGACAGCAGCACATACCAGGGCTGGTGGAGGCCTCGGAGGAGGACGCCTGCAAAGGTGGGGGGGGGGGATAATGTGCACATGTACTCTGTTAAACCTTTTTCTCGTGGTTAGACCCCCGAACCGAAAGAGCTCCATCCATTCAGCTGAATTATTCTTAGTGTATGTTCAATAAAATACTGAGAGTCATTTGAGAGTTTTCTCATCACGGTTATTTCTCACAAGATTAATTTCCACCACATTCAGCCCAGAGAGAAAGAATGGTCCTCACACTGATCACAGGTCCAGAACAAACCTCAGTGAGACTGTGCTGCCCTCTAACGGCCAGAGACTGTAAGTAGCAGAGTGTACAACACGCTGTAGAGAAGTTATGTTTGTCAGGACACGACCAAAGCATCATGTAAATCTACCGGAAGCTAAAGATCACTGACATCTGTCACAAGAGGAATCTAAATATGGATATATGTTCTGGATTATTTCAGCCTAAATGAACCCAGTGTACCATCTTTACTTGTTCAAGGGTTGCTCTCCATGTCTGACCCAAATCTTGTTCTCAATGCCACCGCACATCATAATAAAGTGTCTCAATGTGAAATGATTATAATATAACTAAATGCCACTTTCAGAGGATCATAAAAGAACATTTGTTTTTGCTATATTCTAATTCTTCATTTAATCAATAATGTTTAAGGTAATTAAGGATCAATGGATGCCAGAATTTCAGATTTAAAAAAAAGATCATATTTGTATTAATCAATCGCCATGTTAAACAGCAGGTCATCCAATGAGAACTGGTGTAATTGAACCTCACAGACTGACTTGAAGTCCTCCCATTTCTTATTTCATGTACTGTAGATTAATCATTTCCAGCGAACACGACACAAAGGAATTTCCAGGTCAATATGTTACGTCCACGGCTGTAACACATGGAGGCTTTCACCAGCAGCTCAATGATAAGAGCGTTGTGAAATATAGCAAGTCATCGTGAGACAGGGATGACTTTAGACTTCTCAGTAATTGTACTCTGTAGCGTCAGCGAAGGCTTCAGTTTCCTTCTGGCAACTTCCAGCTTCTCCACAAACACTCCATCCTGCACTCCATGCTGCTGTCTGCTTCCAAATGAGGGCTACACTGATGTAGATGTAAAACATGATCACAAAGATCTTAATATTGTCCATAATACAGGTGATTTGAGTAACACGAGAGAGGATGAGGCCAGACTGAAGTCCACTAGGGTTTGTTCTTGTTCCAACAGTGCAGCTCTTTCAAATGTCTCTTCCTTATTGGAGGGTCGTTGAGTGAAAGGATTTTGTTTTTGCAACAGCTGGTAGCGCGTTGCAAAATCATCTGAATAAAGTGAAAACTTACTGGCAAAGAAACTTAGAAATGTGTGTACTCTGTTATTAAGATTTTGATAATCTATTATCTAATATATACATCTTCAAAAAACTTATTATGTATATTCAGTGGACATTTGGTAACAGAAAATGTTGCAAAATCACTACAAAGAGACACCAAACGACCACAAACAGACACAAATTACCACTAAGGGACACAATATGACTACAAAACAACCACAGACACAAAACAACCACAAAGAGACAAAAAATTACAATGAAAAGGGGCATAGAAACGACTACAAAGAGACAAAAATATCTTACTCTGATGCAGCTTCTCCTCCTCTGTAAATACCACCTGTGAAGTTATTTGACTATTCACTAAAAACCAGTTAAAGAACAACACATTAAAAGGGACACTGATTTATTTTATGCCAATACCCAATATTATAAATGCACTATGAATGCCACCGGGGGACAGTGAGATCTCATGTTGTTCTTCTTGGTTACACAAGAGTTGCAACGGGAGCAAATGACAAGAGAACTGTGGTGTATGAATTTAAGTCACGTGGACTCACAATCAGCTGTTTATGGACGATCAACTCCTCAACACAGGTGAGAGACACAATCTGTTTTTCAAAGACCGGACCATCCTGATCAGTTGGCAAACTGATACTGGGTCTGTGGCAGGCTCGGCCCCTCCTTCCTCATTCCTCTGGTTGTGTGTAAATAAACTAAACAGAGGGAGTTGGCTGAGCATCACACAGGCAGCAGGAGCTCGGCTTTGAACCAAGCCATTTAATAAAAACAAAAACCAACACCAGTGAATCAATTAGCTCGATTGTCCTCAATCAAAACGGGTACCATCCTAAATGAAACCTCATCAAAGCCCGAGTCGTCATGGCAGCGCGTCCAGGTGACAGTGTTCTCAGATGTGAGCCCGACAAAGGCTTCACACCAGCCCAGACGCTATTGATGAGGACTGGAGGCTGAATAGTCCCAGAGAGGAAATGATGCCATTCTGTTCTCCACAGCTCTGTGATGTGGATGAATGGGCTCCACTGGACCAGTTTGATGAGCAGCACTCGTCCCGTTGTTAGTTAAGCAGTGCCATTGTGCTATTTTAAGACGCGAGGGTCCCCGGGGCTGTGAGCCCAAATATATAATGAAAATGACATCATGGAAAAAACTGTGTGAAAAATACTTAATGAACCAATTCATTCTGAAATACTTTAAGAGATGTATGCTCATTTCTGAACAGAGGGGCTACGTTTTATTTCATGAAAGAAATGTTAACGCCCCCGTTTAGTCTGTTTTAAAGAAACTATTCTGTCACATTTGATGTTTCATGGTTAGCAGACGCTAACGGGCATGCGATTGGCTGAGAGGTGAAGGCAGGAAACACCAGTGACAAACAAAAGTGACGTTTAGAGATAAAATGTGACATAACAGGGCATTTAGATTCAGTTATGAAAACAAGAATGAACATTTTGTAACGGTAAATTTAGTGTCGATAATTGGACTATGTATTGATTAGTTTTTACATTTTGCTCAATGTAATCATTTGAGATGCATTCCTTAATGTCCGAGTATTTAGCATTGAGCACTTTAATACTGGGCTCTACAGCCCAACAGAGACCCGGTCTGATCATTAAGTGTCAATATTTGTAACGTAAAAACATGATCATAACTTCAGGTAACAATAAAACTCCACTTATATAATCTTTTGGTTCATTCCAGAGAAGATGCAAATGTCAGAAATGTCTTCATTTAGATATTACAAACTATTAAGAGATCTAAAAAAAAAGTCTAAATAAAATAGTTTTTATTATATATACACACTATATAACTGTAATAACTAAAAGGGTTTGATTAAGACTAGCCTATTTCCTCCTATTATTATTATTAAATTCATTTTAATTCATTTTTTTCTTTAAATTGGTTCTTTGATATAGCGAATGGTTAACTCTTTTTTTCCAGTTTGACTGCCGTTGAAACAAATATAAGAAAATAAGTTCATATTCAGGAAGGCGAGTGCTCTGCGGGTAAAATAAGTGAAACAACACTGAAGGTGAATTCATCCTTTATTAAATCTTGACAGCAGTAATCTACAGTGGTTTCACGCCAACAAGTCATTTGTACTGAAGACCCAAGTCGCTGCCAGATTGAGCCCCTTTAGACGATTGAATATATCTTTCACATACACGTAGAGCAGAAAGGCGAACGACGACAAACAGGCATTAAATTAATTTAGTAAAAACCTTCTAAACAACATTCAGCACAATTCAGCTTGTATTTTCCATTCAACTTTATCTGGAAGAGGTTTGAAAGGACCAGCTCGGCTCGTGATCTCTCTGTTTAAATACATCAGAGGGAGATGAAGGGAGTTCCCCTCAAGGCAGAACAACCCCGCTGTCTGCTCGCAGCAGAGACAGCTCCATGTGTGGAAGAGCAATGATGGAGGATTGAAAGAAGAAACAATATTTAAGAAACACAAAGACCCGGTTAAACATCATCAGCTGCACCAGAGTTCAGAGCCGTGCATCCCTTCAAACCCTGGCTGTGTGCCAGTTTTAATCTGTCCTAATAAAGCAAATGTCAGTGTATATACTCGGGCTGAATGTTTGAAGTTGGGGGATTGGACGAAGGGGTTTCGGGTCCGCCATCAGGCGCTCCTGCAGAGGGACATCGATCCTCGCCCACCTCAGTAATTTCAGGTTACGGGCCAGGACGTCACAAACAGCCCAAACACACACGAATACGTACATGTGTGTTTGGTGCTCCTCAACAAGGACACACTGGTGGAGCCCAGTGGGGGGAATCAGCAGAGTAACCCTGCTGTTCAGCAGTGCTGCACTCACATCAAAACTACCTCAGCCTCCGTCAGTCACCTCTAAAGCTCCCGGGGTGTCGGGGTTTGTCCTGAGAACGGAGCAGCCGGAGGTGAGGCTGAACTAAAAGGTGGACCGCCGGCTGAGACCGGAGAGTCCTAATGTGAGCGCAGCCCCGCTAAACGAGCAGGGTTTAACCTCAGCAGCCGCCCTGGATGATGTCTCCGCCGGAGCTCTTGGTCACCTCCATCGTGGTGAAGATCTAAAACGACGTGGAGAAACACACTTTTATTATGCAGCTTGTTTTCAGGAGCACACATTGGGCATTTTTTTTATAAAAGGCTAACTGGAATCAAATAATTCACAACTCAGTCGAACGGAGACGCTTTCTTTTGTTTGTGAAATCACAAGATGTTCCATTAACGGCGTCCCACTCGACTGAGCTGTAGCGTTAGCTAGCTCGCTGGCGCTAGGTGAGCTAGCTGTAGGCTTCTGCGCGGTGATACGGTTGGCAGGTGTAGTTCGGTAGAGAGAAAATAGTTCCGACGTGAAACTGCTCACAACAAGGTCTGTGGATTATCTTAAGTAACAGAGTCATAATTTCTGGAAAGTGATTTTAATAAACCGCTTAAAGCACCACAAGCCGAGTGGCATCTAGTTCCATATTATTGGAGAGAAGGCAGACATCTCTACAGCCGATACCTCCAACACCCACACCAAAACCATCCACATTGATGAAGAGCACCACAGGTAAGAGGACAAATGTGTATTTTGGATTTCCGGGGTGAACCGTCCCTTTTAAACTATAGTGCCATGAAAGAATAATAAACTTGGACATGGGCACAACATGAGGAAGTTCACATTGTCCAACTTCGCTACAAAATGGAAATGTGAGTAATGTAAAACACCAAACGGCTGAGCAGCTAAACGTTCCGCAATTATCACTGTCCTCCATTAACATGATGAACGTGTTATGCTGAGATCTGCAATTAAGTTAATTGATGCACATTATGCATCACAGCAGACAGACAACTGAAATATTCATCCGGTTTACAAAAAATTAGAGTAGATTAGATTAATAAACGCTCTTCAAGTGGGAACTCTACAAACAGACAGGGTGATACACCGTTCTACGTGTTCTGACTGAATGTGTGCTCTGGCACAACGCCATCATTCACACAGATATAGAGGGGAAAACTAGCCGAGTGAGGGAGCATGACATCTTCAATCAAAGTGCAGAGGTTTGTTTTGTGTTTAACTGCAGTGCAAAAGCTCAGCTTAAAAATAAATAAAATAAAACTCATGACATTTTGAATCTGTAAGCAGCAATGTGACCAAAGCCAACACAGTGAACCATACCGGCCTGGAGACCACTAAGAGATGGAAGGTTTTAAAAACAACAAATAATAATAAATAAAATGCTGATATCTATAATGACCAGAGTCGACTTCTACCTCGGCACAGGTCGGGTGGATGCCGATGGTGCCGTCCAGCTGCTCCTTGGTGGCGCCGCATTTCATGGCTATGCCGAAGCCCTGCGTCACCTCCCCGGCATTCGGCCCCAGGTAGTGAAACCCGATGACTCGGTCCTACGGTGTGACAGCAACAACAAAACACGGTCAGTGGCGTGACGAGAGAAGGGGGCGCTAAAGGCCCACATCTGATTGGACTGTGCAGACGCAGCGGTAACCTTACGTTGTCCAGTTTGTTGCAGATGATCTTGCCGTAGCACCGGTTGTTGTCTCTGCCGGCCACAGTGAACTCCAGGGGCCAGAACTGACTGTGGTACACCTGAAGACCACAAACACCGCGGTGGTTTGTTACAGTATGAGCAGCATCATATGAGCAATGAATAACAGCAATCCCATTAAATATATTTTGAATGCTTGTCCAATAATATATATGCACTATGTCTGCAGTTAAACCTTAGAGACACGAGACGAGATTCAATTTAAAGAGACGTACTGCAAATGTGTGTATGGAGACAAATCTACTCATGGAAGAGTACTACATGGATTTTAGGAACACAAACTACAAAGTCTTAGAGATGGACTTTACTCCAGCAGGACACAAGGTTCACTCTCAGGTGAACCAGACAGATAATACATTATGCAGGTGACAGAGTGTGTGTGTGTGTGTTACCTCGAGGTTGTCCTGCCCGTAGAGCTCCGTGGCCCTGTCCTCTGACAGACCACAGGAGCCGTACTCCAGTGGGGTGAAGACCGTGGTGGGAACGTTGACGTAGTCACACTGCACCGACACGGAGAAAACGTTTGTTAGGGAAATTAAGCCTCTTATTGGCACGCGCCACGCCATGTTCCGGTGATTATTGAAGAGAGTTTGTGTGTCGAGGTCCCGAACGGGGATGAAAGACGTCAGCCTCCACATCAAAAGAAAAGACGGTCAAACTAACAGACACTTAGTTTTGGCGGTACGTGTATATACACTAGGCATTACGGTAGGAGCTTTAAAATAAAAGCGATCTTCAATCATAATAATCAGTCAGAAAAAGAGATTAAATAAACAAAATGAATAAATAATAAAAATTTTAAAAAAACTACCGCCTCAAAACTGTATTTCAGAAAAAGCATTTAATTTGTGTGAATAATTAGTCAAACTTAATAAAGAAAACATTTTCCAAGACTTCAATAACAGTGCCCCCCCCTCAGAGCGCCATTGAGACACTTCCTGTTTCCACATGGCAATTTCATTTCAAAACAACAGCAGACCAACATCAGGACATTCGGATGTGGAATTTCAAAATCAAAGTCTAAAATGCCAAATGAGAGCTCTCAATGCTCCCTTAAATTATGATGAGTTCACTAGAACGACCATCAGATCAATCACACAGTATTTTCATAAGCTATTGTAAATGAATAAGACTGTCACAGCTGTAATCAAAAAGGAAAACTAAAATTTGAATTAAGCACAAATAAAAAATAAATGGCACAAAATTGCAAAATATTCTTATTTTTTTACTGTTGCACAGCAAGTATTCTCTATTCGTTTTGAGGTATCTTGATCTATTTCCCCCCCGTACATTTTATCACTGTATGATCACGTCAACAAAAGCATCATCATTAATACACATCCAGGAACAACAGAGGGATTTAATTCCTCCATCCTATATCATTTACAGACTGGGTGTTTTGCTGTTTATAAAGGTCATCATTGTGGTGGTTGGTGTGTGTGAGTGTGTGTGTGTGTGTCGTACCTTCAGTGTGGAGCCCTTGTAGAGGCGTCGTGCCAGCAGCTTGCCGGCCTGGATGGCTACAGGCGTCAGCTCCCACTTGCCCTCCAGGATGTCTCCGATGGCGTAGACGTGGGGCACATTGGTCTGCTCCTCATCGTTCACCGGGATCTTTCCATTCCTGCACGGTGAGAAACCAAGCAGTCATATTTTAAATCAGGCGATCTGTGCTCATGTACTCGTAAAACTACTCCTGATACAAACGCCTCTGATGAGACAACGGCTCATCTTTTTACATTCTTTTAACGGTTTAACTCAAAGCACTGATAAACAGTTCATTATCAACGTCGATACTGTTTGTGTCCAGTAAGATGGGTCACAGTGACAACACAGTGGCTCCTGTTTCTCCGTTGCTCAACTTGTGACATTTTTCAGGACTTTGTCAATCTTTGATCAACAAAATGATTAAAAACAGGTTCTGGCCTTCCTTTTTCTTTTACATTTTAGTAGAACAGTTAAAACACCTTTTATCTTCAAATTCTGATTGCCCAAAACAGAAACACTTTTTCAGACATATTAACCCTACATCACAGTTCACGGCTGCACGCTGTGTCACATGTTCCGCTGCTCTAATCGGTTGCTGATATTTTCTTCTACGCTTCTCGAAAATGAACCGAGAGCTTCTGGACTGATCACATTCGGTCCGGTGATGTCAGGCAACAACACAACAGCTAATTTAAAAAGCAGCAGAGGAACGTCTATCCATCACAAGGCAGAAATGGATGAAGCGAGCCTGAGAAACAGAACTGTAGTAGTATTCCGATAAGCCCTCTGGCTCCATCAGAGTACTACCGAGGTCATAAGACTGGGTCCATGTGACCCACCGAGCGCTCTTCTGAGCTGGCCTCATGCCGTCTTAATCCCCGTTGGTCTCCGACGCCGAACAAGTCGTTCATTCACAAAAAGTAGAGAGACTACATCCTCAAAGAAAAGGCTTCATTCCCCATGTTTCATACATCGGAAATAATTATAGAGTGCAAAAGTTACGACTTCAAAAGACTGTTTTAACTTGAACTCTAGTTTTCTAATTCCTAAAAAACAACAGTGATGTAGTGATTAAAGACATCAAGCAAACGTGAGTCTAATAATATACGTACCTAAGTGCAGACAATGCAACATAAGGACACCAGCTATTAGATAATTCCTTTCATGATTAAAAAGGAGCTGACACACTGGACGGGGGAGGAGGGGGGGAGACACGCCTCTCCTCTCTCCCTACCCCTGCAGGGAGCGGCAAGAATTGCTGAGTCACCGTGACTGTACGAGTCTTAAAGGCACAGGCCGCCCCATGTCATGCGATGGACGTATGGAGGAGGAAAAGAGAAGATACACAACGAGATAATAAACTCACTTGGGGTTGACTTTGACCCCTATCTTGCCCAGGCCGACCTTGTCGGTGCATGCGTCTCGGCCCACTGCTATCAGCACCTGGAGAGAAACAGAGAAACGGCTCGTGGTTTAAAAAAGGGGGCAAAAATGATGCTGTTCTATGTGCTAAATGAAGGCCTTAGACCAAAAGGAGGATAGAATATATAATAATTGAAGCTCACGAGCGAGCCTAGCTAGTTATCTGGCTAAGTTGGTAGCATTAGCATTAGCCTTATTTACGCTAAAGAGGGTTACTGTATAGCTTACTGTGTCTTTGTTTATTTACAGCAGGAACCTCTAGTTGGTTTGATTGAGAATGTTCAGCATTGTTGTTGCTCTGGCTAACAGGAGCTAAATGGCTAAAGAGTTTGCTAGCTGAGGAGAGGTAGGGCTGTGCGATTGACTGAATGGCGAGGAGGGAGATGACGACACCACTGTCAGGAAAATGCTATCAAGATTAAAAAAAATAACTGAAGACTGACTTCTGAAAACAAGAATGTCTATAATTAAATATATCTTTTTTTGATTTTACTAATCATTTTTTAAATTGTCAGTTTTTCTTAAATGATCCAACCGATAAACCCAGCCCAGTGTTGCCCAATCTTTCCAAAGAGAGTAGCTAGCAGCAATCTAGAAAGTCACTCCCCCAAAATTATCATTATGAATGTAAACAACTAACACGGCCAATCCTTTTATTCAAGCCGAATAAATAAAATACTTTGTCAGAGCATTTAATTCATTGATTGCTGTCGGGAAGAAAATGTTAACAAAAAAATGCTTCTTCAATACATTACCCACCTTAGCTTTTATTCATACAACTATGCATTTATTAAATATTGCACAATTCAGGATTCCCTATAAAAAAGTCCCAAAAGGAACCTCACACAGAAAGTTCCACTGTGTTCTCCAACAGTAGTACCAGGAACAGATGGAGAGATGGATCCGTACGTACCGTGTTGTACTCCCCCTCGATGACCTCATCGGTCTCTGTGGACTTGGCCGTCACCTTCAGCCTGCCGGGAGAGCCTGCTTCCAGCTCCTCTACCTGAGACACACACACACACGCGCACAAAGTCAATCTTTGTGCGACAGTCAAATGTCCCGCTGAGCGGTAAAAACTTATGGTGCAAGATGGTACGACAATAAATCTTCTGATGCTGCGAAATTTCACGGTTCAAAGTCTGCAGACTACCAGATGCCTTTAAGTGAGATGACATCGTCAAATTAATTAATAAATTAAATACATGACTTAAAGCATGTGCTTTTATTTTGATGGGTTGCTTCACTTTGCTGCGAGTGTGTGAGTGAAAGTGCTGCCTCAGCTAAAACGCTGTCTCGTCAGTCCAGCGGACGCTCACCTTCACGGGGACGTAGTGGCGGAGGAACTTGACGCCGTGGTCCTCCATGTGCTCCCCGGCACGGTTGGCCATGTCCTGGTCGAAGCCCCTCAGCAGGATGGAGCGGACCATGATGGTGACGTCGAGACCCAGGCCGGCCAGGAAGCCGCCGCACTCCAGCGCCACGTACGATGCCCCGATCACCAGGGTCTTACCCGGGCAGTGGGGCAACGAGAAGAGGTCGTCGCTGGTGGACAGAGTGCAGACGGATGTCAAAGGCTAAAAATAACTTCCCAAATGTCCATTTGATTTCTGGTTAAAAGACTGTAGTATAAGAAGAAAACATTGCCCAGGATGGGGTTGTGTCTTGTGTCACACAACAACCTTTGGTCTGAGGTTTTTGTAGAACTAAGTGAGCAGCATGAGGCCATTTGTAGGTTGCCAAAACACCAACGACACCCGAGGATAACCTTACATAACATTTACACTGCTGGGAGATTAATGAGCGGCCTGAGGAGAAGCCCTCTGAGGAGGACGCAAGCAGCCAGATCATTCAGAGCGTTTTCAGAGATCACACACTTCAGACATCTGCTGAACCCTTTCTGGTCCTAAATGTGAGCTCTGGGATGGGGCTTCCAGACACACAGCCTGTCACTAGATACAGCCACCATTGTGACCGGCCCGGCACTCTCACCTGGTGATGCAGTACTCCTTGTCTCCAGGGATGCCCAGGTAGCGCGGCCTCTCGCCTGTAGCCAAGACAAACCTAGCCGCTGTGTGAAGCGTCTCCTTCCCTCGTTTGTTGGTCGCCTGTCACAAAACGCAAACAGAAACTCTGTTAACAGTCACAATGACTCAGTGAAGGGCAGGGTGGTTTTTATATAATTATTTGCTTTGGGTGCAGCTGGAGATGTGATCGCAAGTATGAGAGCCAACAACAAGAAGGCTGAAATGATTAGCAAAGCCTGTTCAAGACAAACAAAAACATAGGTTGCTGTAACAGGCTAGACAACATTTCAAAAGCAAACAGCTTATCAACATTTGTTGCATGTTGTGATTTTGGAAAATGCCATTTGTTAAGTCTACTAAGACTGGAACCAAGCAAGTAAAGCAGTTAAAGGGATAGTTTGGATGTTTCGAGGTGGGGTTGTATGAGCTGCGTATCCATAGTCAGTGTGGTACCTACAGTGATCAGTGGCTTGGAGAAACAGACAGGAGTACCAGCACGAGAGCAAAGCAATGCAACTCTGTGGACAGCTGCAGCAGCTAACCACCATCAATATCACTTTGAATAATTATCCTCAAAAAGCACAAGACTCTATTGAGAAAAACAGTAACTTTAACACAGGAGTTGCTGGTCTAGCGCTGCCTTGATTGGTTAGTTGTTATTGGGTGAATGAACTAACCACCAATGTCACACATAACAGACAAACTAACCGATCGAGGCAACAACTGCTGTGTTCTGCGAGGTAAAAAGGAGTCTGGTGACAAATATTCTAAATATATTACACACTTAAACTGAACTTAAACGTCCACAGCTGTACATTGCTTTGCTCCAGCCTGTGTCTCCATCATCTACTGTAGGTAATACACAGACTACGGATTAGTGCTGCATACACTTAAATCTAAACGTCCGTAAAAGTACATTCACGGTTCCGTCATAACAGAGGCACTTACCTTGATTTTGTGTGGTTCGATGAACTCTGCATAGGCGTTGACATAGTTGACGTCCTTGTCCCTCAGAGCCACCCTGTAGCCCCAGTTCAGAGAGCCGATGTAGTTGTTCACCGCCGTCTTCATCGTGTCCCAGTTGTGCGTCACTGAGTGCAGACAGACGGCCGTTAGTAGATATCAGTGGGATGCTAACAAGTGACTGCTGACCGGGCTCGCCTCTGATTTACCGCGGCAAACCGGCGTGATGTCCCCCCTCCGTGACCTCCGGGGTCGGCGCTCTGAGCCCTCACCTGTCTCGCTGAACTCCCAGCCGAACTTGCGCGCGTCCTGCATGGCGGTGCCCAGCACGGCCGTCTGGTGCATCAGCTTCTTGGGAATGCAGCCCACGTTCACGCAGGTCCCGCCGAGACCTGAACGGCCACAGCGGTTACGCATTAGCAACTTAAATATATACAGTGCATCACGAGTATCTTACCAAGTATCCTGACGCGTCTTACCCCAGGTTGTTCCTTTTGGTGTGGGCACAACATAGTCCAGTACCATGACCTTCTTTCCCAACATAGCAGCTTCCTGTTGTCAACAGAGCCAGAGTTACTGCCACGTTACGTAAATCTGTCATTTCCTAACACCCTTCTGTGGAAAGTGGAAATAGGTTAAAGGCGAAGGTAACCCCGTGTGTCACCTTTGAGCAGGCCAGGCCTCCAGATCCTCCTCCGATGACGATCAGGTCGTACTCGTAAGCTTCGTTGTCTCCGCTCAGCAGCTGCTTCAGGCTGCCATCTCCATGAGCCTGACGGAAACATTAACACAAGGTTGCGTCAATACGCCACTCGTGTGCGTTGTGTAGGTAAGCCTACAGTCACATGTATTGACCGTAGGCTATGAAGCTAATTTCAAATACAGCTAGAAAGACAGTGTCTGTGAACAAGTCACTTGATGAACAAACAAGAAAATCCCTCAAGACAGTCAACTAGCTGCACACTGGTGCTCCTCACCTGCATCGTTTTGTCACAGCCGCCAACGTGCATCTTGTTGATGAAGACGTTGGGAACGCTTTTCTGCCCCGTCATCTCGAGCAGCATCTCCTGGTAGTTGGTTCCATCCTCTGGACGGACGGTTAATGGGTCAGTGCAAAGTGAATACTGTTACTGTATACTAGTAACCGCTGCTTCAACACGTCTACTTGTCATATGGTAATCAGCACGACTAATGCACAAAGAAAGGGCAGAAATAACAAAAAAGGGGGAAGCATGACATGACACAAAATGTGTTATCATTTCCCATCTCTCACTCTGTGCTCACACCATGGCTACTTCACTACAAGCACAAACCGGGCTACTTCTGTAGCCAGTTTAGCCGGTCAGAGTGGACCAACAGCACAAAGCAGCTCTGTTGCTATGGTGGCCTGCAGTTTAATATCCACACTAATCTAGACCGGAGGTCAACCTGATCACATGGCAACATATCGACAGGAGATTCCCTGAGCTGAAGTCACGTCGGCTTGTAATATATTCTGATCAATCATATTCTTGAATGGCAATTAAGCTCGTCAATCATCCCCCGATTAATCATCAGCATCCCTTTGTACTTCCCTCAGCGTGACATAAGTACCTCCACAAGACTGAGTGAGACTGAGCGGAGAGGTTAGAGTTTACCAAGATATGGTACGAGGCCAGAGTATCTTCACAGAGTGACTCAGCATGTTTTGAGCTGCTGCACAGGCCGAGGAAACAACATCCCCACTACAGCACGGAGGAGGACTTTCCACAAAGTTTGGAGAAACCAGTGGATTCAAACTCCACCACGAAAAATGCATTTTATATTTACATCACAATAAATTACGCAAGATAACACTGGTAGCGTATTAGGCATTCATAAGCATTATATAAACTCTCGTTTTAAATGGTTTATAACACTTGTTATGTGTGTGAGCAGACATTTGTAAACAGTATATTAATGTACAGTAACATCTCCATCTTACCTATGAGATCCAACTCCACCACGTTACACTCCACGTTCAACTCTTTGAACAAGGCTTTCACCTACAAGAAGACACAAATGTGAAAAATTATACATCAGTTCCTCATAGCAGCCACAAATACCATATTTCATATTAGTAAACGCTCACAGGCCCATGAAATACTCTTTGTTTCAATATAAACCCTTTGGTGCTGTTAATTGTTAGCTAACCCCTCTGTGCGTCAAGTACAGAGGGGTTAGGCGGAAGAAATTTAGCTAACTTAACGTTACAAGAAACTACATTTTAAATAGCTGCAACTTCAGAGATACACGCACTGCCGAATAGACAGTGCGTCTCACACTTCACGTTATAACTTAACGTTAGCTATGAACTCTTAATTATGTAACTAACTTTTCTAAGAAGTGCGACCACATTCAGATAACAGATGATATTGTCGTCACCAAATACCAAGACGACGTGAATTATGTTAAACGGTTCGACGTTAATTTGACTTTTATGTGATTTACAATAAGAAGCCGCATTCGGCTTCCAACGGAGCAAAGTCGCTGGTAGCTTTAACGTGACAAGGAAAAGCCAGCAATTAGACGGAGCCCGTGCACTTCGTGGGAGAAGATGGTAAGTTTCCGACCGGCGAGGTCTCCCTCTCCGACATAAAATCACTGCCTTACCTTGACACAGTACGGACAGTAGCTTTTACTGAACACCATCACTTGATTGGAGTCGATAAGCTGCTGTATCCGAGACTTGAGTTCATTCTTCCCGGTGTCGTTGTCGATGGGAGGCATTGTCGAGCTGTTTCCGTCTGCCTGCGCAGAGCAAGCTTCGATAGACGGCTGACGAGAGAATACGGGGAGACCTGGAACTAAATCACACTGAGTCTCTCTTAGTAAATGTACGAATGTCTCTCGGCTCTTTCTCCAAGAGAAGAATACTAGAACACAGCTGAACCGCGAGGTTGACCTCGGTTCTTCTCCCTCCGCTGTCAGCTGCTAGTCTACCAGCCTCGCCGAACGTCTTTTACCATTTCTTGTCTTGCTACTTTGGGTGCGCTCCATCTGTATCACCTTGGTCCCCGCATGTTTCGTTGCTCATCGTTGTCAAAAGGAGGGACTCCGCCCACGTGAGCAACGCCGAGCACCAACACGTGCGAACCCACAATAACGTCACACGGGTTGCCTATTTACATGCCGTAAAAGCACAGGAACTATTATCGCGCGAAATACTCTTATTGATTGAACCCCAAAATATGTAATTAGGCGCGTGTTTAGATCGAAAAACTACACCTCGTGCGGGTTGGGACGACGATGATAAAAATAAACGGGGCTACAGGAGCCTCTGGAAGACAGCTAATCCTAAATTATGTAAAAAAAAAAGTGAAGCGGAGAAGAGCATGGAGCATGTATTGCAGTTTAGCAAACGAATGCTAATAAATCGATAACTGACAAGGAGCTCAGAGCATTCCAGATTTGTATCCCTACATTACGTTATGAGTGGTGGCCCAACAGCAATTAGTTGGTTATCTAGCGCCATCTGCCAGTGAAATGAGTCTATGACAAGTAACAGGTGCATCGTGTATCACATATGTAGTTTTACGCTTCTGACGTCTACTCAAGAAGTCTCCTCATTTTCTCCCCGACACGGTACATTAATGTGTCATCAAAGACTATCCCCATAATCATTTCAGTGTTCACTATCTTAAACCAGATTTGCAGTCGGAGCCAACTATACTAGACTTAATGTGATCTGGAGACACTGAATAGATCTTTACCTGAGGTGATTCAGACCACTTATCAAATGTACTTTATGTAATAGAGATGGGGAAATTATGAATCATGAAGACTTACTCATACTAAAAGTCTGTACAAAAGTACAACTGCTCTTTCAATTTAATTTACATACACTTTTTTATTAAACTCCTTTCATCATGATTTTTCTATATCGGTTTAATTTTAATTCAGATGCATAGTACACATTTTAATAATATATATATATATATATATATATATATATATATATATATATATCTTTTTTTTGATAGTATTTTTTGTATTTTTATTGTTATTTTCTGCAATTCTATATTCCTGTTTCTTGATTTTTGTGCTTACTTTTATTTTTGATTTAATTTTCTTTATGTTTATGTCATGCACCAATACACCAGAGCGGATCCTTGTACGTGAAACCTACTTGGCAATCAACCGGATTCTGATTTGAGTCGGTAATTATTCCAGAAAAAGGGCTCTCCAGCATTAGCATTGCAGTTTTATAATGAGGCAGTCTCAAGAAACAGGTTAACTGAAAGGAATCATCAGTATCAAACTACTACTACTTTTACTCTATAAAATGTGTATCTCCCTACATACATCTCCTCCCCAGGCCTTCCCAGAAACAGAATGGAGGACAATGGTTAATTGCCCATTGGAACAAATGGGGATAGGCCTTTACAGGCATGGACAGATTACGAGATAATGGGCCTCTGATCACAGAAAAGTAAGAGATCCTCCACCCTTGGTATAAAGTAAGACACCCAGATTACAACTACAAGCATGATGTAACTTTTCACAGTCATGTTATGTCTCTTTGTGTTTTTCTGCAGTCAAGTTGTAGCTCTTTGTGGTTGTTTAAGACCTTTATGTAGTCATATTGTAGTCATACCTTTATGTAGTCATATTTGTGGTTTGTTGTGTGGCTTTTATGGTTGCTTTGTCTCTTTGTTGTTGTGTTGTGTATCTTTGTTGTTCTGTGTATTTTTGTAGTCATGTTGTGTCTCTCTGTGGTTGTTTTGTGTCTTTTTGTTGTCATGTCGTGTCTCTTTGTAGCCTTTTTGTAGTTGTTTTGTGTCTTTATATAGAAATCTGTATATATATATATATTTGATCATGTAAATGTTTTTACATTGTATTTCACATTAATGGATTTGTTAATTTAACATTTCAGTGATATTTTCTGTAAATTATATCTCCCTATATACATCTACTCCCCAGGCCTTCCTGGAAACAGAATGGAGGACAATGGTTAATGCCATTGAAGTCAATAGAGATAGGCCTTGATAGACATGGACAGATTACGAGACAATAGGCCTCTGGGCACAGACAAGTAAGAGGTCCTTCTCCTATAGTAAGACACCCAGATGACAACTACAAGCAGGTTGTGACTATTTGTAGTAATGTTGTGTCTCTTTGTTGTTTTGTATCTTTTTGCAGTCATGTGTCTCTTTGTGGTTGTTTTGTGTCTTTTTGTAGTCATGTTGTGTCTCTTTGTGGTTGTTTTGTGTCTTTTTGTAGTCTCATTGTGTCTGCTTGTTGTTGTTTTGTGTCTTTTTGCAGTCATGTGTCTCTTTGTGGTTGTTTTGTGTCTTTTTGTAGTCATGTATTGCCTCTTTGTTGTTGTTTTATATCTTTTTGTAGTCATGTTGTGTCTCTTTTGCTTTTCCATGCAGTTTAAATTTTTTTTTGTCAACATAACAAAATAATTGTCAGGAGGATGGGGAGCTAAGTTTTAATAACACAAGTAACTTCTATGTTAAATAAAGACAACAAATCAATTAAATAATGTTAGTTATTCAGTGTTAAGTAGGCCACATTGGGTTGGGACATATATGTTAGTCATATCACTATTGTGGGAAGCGGAAGTGTCAACAATGGCCAACTCAGCAAACGGTACTTTACTTCACCAACAAGCTGATGAGAAATCAGAGATATGAAATAAATATCAGACAGGCTGCTGTGACAGCGCATGCGTCTCAAATGTCATTTTAATACAAAGTTGTGTTCCGTTCAAAGCCTTGTGCAATCCTTTATTTCCGATCTGTGAACTCCAAAAAAAAACCCAAAAACCTGAACGCTTGAGGCGCATTTGAAGGCAGCTGATCCGCGTCTCCCCTGTTGTGTACGTCACGTTGCTGAATCATCAGGTATACGCATCATCGATGTGAACGCAATCTACTCACATAATTTACAGGTGAGTGTCGTTGGATGACTTCCACCTTCCACCCGACGGGGAGCGGAGTGCAGTTTTGCAACAGTGTTACGCGATATTTCTTCGACAGGTCGGGACGCGCAGAAATAATTCCCGGTAACTCTCGACGAGTTTGAACAAGAGCAGACTCCCTCTAGCAGCTGTGTAAAGAAGTTCATTCCTCGGTTTACCACCGCCTGTTTGTGTTTGTTTGTGTGTGTGTGTCCCTGAGTCTTGACACTTGCATTGTTGCTCCACCTCCGTCACCGCCTTGGATTTAAGTCGCTTGCAAAGCTGCTGCGAGGCAGTTTCTCAAGAGGAAGCAGAAGAGTGGGAGGTGGACTACTTCTAGTGAGGAGAGAGAGAAAAAGAAAGGAAAAAAGTTCACGATGGCAGATAATAAGATGGGCCCGAACCTCCAGGCTGGAGCCGGATTCCTCGCCAAACGAGTCCAGAAGTCTTTGAATCGAGCCCAGGAGAAGGTGAACCAGAGCACTCAATTATTGACTTTACAACTGCACACCAGAAACACTGTCATTAGTTAGGCGAGCTGTGAGATGACTTGTTAAAGCTTGTTTTTGTCACCCAGCCTCATGCTGCTGTGGTGTTAACTCACTAGATGCCCTGCTGTAACAGCTCACAGACTTCTCTTCAAAGCGTCTGAAAGGTATCAGAATGTGAGGCATGTCTGAGGGGGGGGGTTTAGTTTCCAGCAGTAGATTTACAACAGGCGGGGGCAAGCTGCTCATTCAGAGAGGATTACTTCAATACATGCGGCTTTTATGTGCTTTAGTAGAAATATGGCCAATGAGTAAGTAGGAATAACTTGTGAAACGCGTTGCCTTGAAGCTCTCTTACTTTCCCAGTCTACAGTCCCGTTATCTAGCTCCGGACCGAGATGTAGCTGAAAAGGCAACGCACCCAAGTGAGAGGATAGAAATAATGTAACAAAGTCTAAGAACCTGTGATACTGAGCGTGAGAGAGAAAATAAAAACCTGTCTACTCGGGGAGGGAACTGCATGCTTTGTTTTCAACAGTCTACATTTGTATGATCGGCCCGTTTTTTTTATTTATACCAGCAGCGTGGACCTTCCCTGTCTGTCTGAGCGTCTCAGTGTTGTTCGCCGCTGCACAAAAAGCTGCCACTTCCTGACTCTGCACTTCCTCTCTCGCTGGCTGAGCCTTTTTCTCACTAAAGTTTGCGGTCGACTCGTTTGATTTCACTGCGCCACCTTCCAAACAGCAGCTAGTTTGCATGCACTCTGGAGTCTGCAGGAACGAAGCCCGTCTTTTTGAGGATTCAGTGAATTTCTGCTCTGTAATCCTGAAAAACCAATGGGAGCATATTAACATAATGTGAGCCTATTTGTGGCAGAGTCGGCGTTGAAGGTCACGCGATGCGTGGCATTCTGCCTCTAGCAGTTGCGTGCATAGTGGACTGTGAAAGACACCAATAGTAATAGTAATAGTTTCAGGGAGGCATAGGAGTATGTGGTACTGTATGTGGACCATGAATCTGTAATGGTTAATAGTGCTAGACCGCTGACTCCTGTTGGCCTATACATCCCGATGCATGCTGACAATGACATCCCGCATCTTCCTATTGGCTGACATTTACACTGATACCGATGTATCTGCAATTTGCTAATATGGGCCAATATTTCGGCCCGGCTCATTAATTAAGGAGTATGCTCTCCTTTAACACCGTCATGAAAAAAAAATTTCAAAATCGATGCAGCAGAACCGGAGATGTCATCTTTTTTTTGTTAAGGTCCAAGCATTCTTTCTAAAACCTGGTGCCTACATTACCCACAATGCAGTTGGACTACCAGCAGTTTGGACAGAGATTCGGGCACGTTATGCTTGTTGCGGCTAATGGAGCCTCTCGCCTAACCTTTTCCACATAATGCAGTAGTTTGCATTCATGCTAGGAACCTGTGTCTATCGAATGTTGAAACTAACTCTGCCGTCCTCCCCTTTTAGGTCCTTCAAAAACTGGGCAAAACCATGGAGACCAAGGACGAGCAGTTTGAGATGTGTTTCCAGAGCCTCAACAAACAACAGGTACACAGACACGTTTAACGTGAGGTGGTCTCTCTACGTGGCGGCCCCCCTGCCGTTCACTGCGGGGCTCGAACAAAGGTCAAGCAGAGTGCTTCGCTTCATTCCTACTTTTCTAGTTAAACAGCTTATTTTCCCCCCCCGATGCCCCCGTACCAAACACCTCCAGATAAATAGGGCACTGCCGAGTCTTCAGAAACAAGGGCAGTGTTTGGTTCCCTCTGCTGAGATGTCAACCCACAAGACCACGACAGTCGGCTCGGCCTTGACAACAGGAAACTCTTGAAGCAAGATGTACCTCCTCCTTATCTTCTTATCAGTTCTGCATAAATACTGCGTGTTTAGTCTCCTCTAGATATCTGGGTATACACAGGCATTATTCTTGGCCATGATACTAAAATAAATGAGATATATGTGTATGCTCAGATTCAGGAAACTATCCAATATTATATACAATATAATATGCAATTTTAAGGTTTACCCACATCGACCACAACGACTTGGCCCCGATTTTGGTCTTTTGAAAAGTGAGACTGTAACGTTGGACAGAGGAATTGAATTAACACAATCTTGTTTTTTACAAATGAAAAGTTTCATTTAAAAGCAATAAAGTGCACCCTCACTCAGTGCAATACACTCGGGGGCAGTGTTTCTACAGCCTGACTTGGTCTGGTATGACCGTTAGCTTGTGTGCTAATCTTAGCAAACTAAACATAGATACTGCTTTATAGTGGAAATGCCTGAACCGGTGCACTGACTTTAAGTCTCATTTCTGCTTTCTGCTACTGTTACACTGTGTTTCAGCATTCGGCGTTGCCCTGTAACTCACTTTGTAAAAAGTTCCATAGGTTTACCTTTTAAGTTGCTTGAAGCTCATTCAGTGTCAAGTGCAGCACATATTGGAGGGAAACTTAACAGGAAGGAAGTGTACACCCTGAGGAGACGTGCCGCTTTCACTTCACCACCTCATCAAATGGAGTGATTGTTGATTTATTTTAAACTCGACAATGTGGTCGGGTGACAGGAGTATCGTGGATTTTGCGCAGCTCTGAACTTGGTGCAGTGAACCTCGGCCCGAAGCGCGCCGAGGTCGTTGAGGAAGTGACGAAGCACAAATGGTTCGGGTCGTCCACAGAGCTGCTGTCTCTGGGCGTCGCTGAATCTGACTTCTCTGCGCTTTCTGCTTTGCGTCCCACACAGATTGATGGAAGCAGGTTGTTTAAAGATGTCAAGGCCTACCACGCAGCAGTGAAAGGTAGGTCGCATGCAGCACGCACACACACACACACACACCCGCAGCACAGTGTTGAACAGAACGCCACCCTTTGCGCAGGAGATTCTGTGAATAATGGGGAAGTGGATTTCTTCTATTCTCTGACCCTTTGTCGACTTTTGCAATTCCGTCTGCGTTGCCATCTTGTACGCGGACAAAAAGAATCCTGCGGTGGAAATGGCAAACGCAGCATCGCATATGTGATTCATGCATTTCTGGTGTTGTCAGCTATTGCCCCTACATTGTGAGCTCCAGTCCAGGAAACCAGTGTTATTCTGACCTTCTCTGTGTGGGTGAAGCAACAGTGCTACAAACCCTTTAAAAAAACAATACCAACCACAATGCACTGTGCTGCTGATGCTGAAGATAAATTCCTCGTGGAGTCATGATTATTTGCTCTTTTATTTTATTTCTTTGTCCTATAATTTCCTATTCCTTTCCACAGCCGTGCATGAGACGTCCAAGCGTCTGTCGCAGACGTTGCGAGAAGTCTACGAACCAGACTGGAACGGAATGGAGGACCTCGCCGTCATTACAGAAGTATGTCCATAATGTGTCTTTGAGATGGTTTTAATCTGAGAGCTGATGAAATCACTTTCATTTCAGCAGGTCAGGCTAATTTCCAGGAAATGTTTGGTTTCTCCAAGCACGTTCAAAGAAGCTTGATCTAAGTTACCATGAAAATACACTCACCGGCATCTTCATGAGGTACACCTTGCTTGGATCAGGTTGGACCACCTGCCTTCAGAACTGGCTTAATTCTTCGGGGCATAGATAAAACAAGATGTCGGAAACATTCCTCAGATGTTGGTTCATATTGATGCGACAGCGCCACGCAGTTGCTGCACATCCGTGATTAAAGTCAGAGTAAAATTGATTAGCACGATGATGCCTTGGGTTGGGACCATAGACTCTATATTTATAGTGGGCGTAGTCATCCATTGGTTAGTAGACTGACGTTATGAAGCCTCGAGTTTGACAATTTCGCCGTTGCCATCTTGGGTTACGGCCATTTTTCGCAAACCAATGAACGTAAATTACCATATTTGGAATGCGGAGGAGTGACGTAGAGATGCCACATACATCTCTGGTAGTGGCAGCGACGTGTCAATCACAGTAAGCCCGCCCTAAAGCACACTCCGCTTTCTGGCAGAATGATGGACTCTAAATTGGACTATAATTTATTAAAAGAATAACATGCTGTATTGAAGTAATAAATCAAGTGAGAAGTAGGCTCATTTTATCATAGACTTCACTACAATCTGACTTCTTTTTGCAACCGGAGGAGTCGCCCCCTGCTGGTCAGTAGAGTGAATGCAAGTTTTAAGACACTCCCACACTGGCGTCACAAGGCAGAACCGGTTGTGACGCCGTTGTGCAGCCGCTAGCTAGCTAGTGGTGCCCAACAGAGAGACTCGCGTGCAGCAGACCCAGCTACAGAGAAGCTCGTATAACACACACACACACACAGAGGGAAAGCGACTTCGTCCTCTGCTCAAACAGACATTGCTCCACTATATCGTTATGAAGCAAATAGTTGTTTGCTGCTATATTAATGCTCTGAATCCTGTACATTTTTAAAAACACTATTTCTGATGCACTGCACAACATATTCATATCCATTTTTGCTGAGATAATGTCCAGTATTTAGAGAAAATTGTTACAATTGCACTGATGTGATAACTGTCTCTTAGAGTGAAGACCTGCTGTGGAACGACTACGAAGAGAAGCTAAGTGACCAGATTGTGCGCACCATGGAGAACTACACAAGCCAGTTCCCCGAAGTCAAGGTAACCCGATGCTTTTTTGAACCCGAATCAGTTTCCTACTAAACTGCACGCATGTGCTAGAATGGCTTTTGGGCCTCTTGGGTAACACCAGTCTGATTCATCCTCCCGCAAGTGGACCACATGTTCACTTAAGAAAGTGTGTGTGTGTGTGTGTGTGTGTGTGTGTGTGTGTGTGTGTGTGTGTGTGTGTGTGTGTGTGTGTGTGTGTGTGTGTGT